TATATATATATATATATATAAATTTTTTTTAATTTTTTTATATATAACAATGATAAAATAATGAAATAACATTAAATAAAAAAGTATATATATTTTTAAAATACAGAAATGAGTTTGCCTGTACTGCTCAGTAACTTCAAAAATAATCATAAATGAACATAAAAAAGAATTGTGATAAGATTGTTGATCGTATGGATCTTTATTTTTGCCATGTCACCTACCCCTAGATGGAAATGATCCATTTCATCAAATATTGGTGTGTAAGGTATTTTTGTGTTTGAGTATAGAGTTGTAAGCTTATCACTGTCACTTTTAAGGATGCTGCCTGAGTAGACAGTTCACCAAGTTCTGGATCAGAGCAAATGTGTGGAAAACATTACGAGTGTATCTTACCGAGAGTCGAGACCCTGCTCGGGCTCTGGCCACTGACTCCTTCTCCTTCTCTGCGGCTCGCCGCTGCACTGCCTGGAAGTTGTTGAGAGCTGCGGAGAAATCATTCATCAGCCTGTCCTTCTGGATTTTCTGCTGTCTCTGTTTAAAGAAGAAATTCAATGAGTTAGGATAGACAATTCAGATAACATAAGAACTTCAAACAAATAACCTTCCCATTTTTATTTAAATTTCCTTATGCTTCATGTAAACATGTTTCTCTGGAGGTTAAAAGTGAGCGCACCTGTTCGGACAGGGAGGCGGGTAGAGAGAGTGAGCCGAGGTCTTTCAGGTGTTTGTTGGTCTCCTTGGCCAGCTGGTTTGTGTAGTGCTGCACCTGCTGACTGTAAACAAATCACACATACTGAGAATAATACAAGTGCACAAGAGGAACAGGAAATACACAGCCATAAATAAATCAAGAACTAAACACACTCACAGTCTCTCCCGCAGGTCACTGCTGTCTTGTTTTGTTCCCAGTTGGTTTACCATGCTCTTAATTTGTGCCGCTAATGTAAAAAACACAAATTTAAACAAAAAAAATCATGCTGTGAAGGCAGTGCAGGTTCTTCACAGCATGACGACAATACTGTGGATCTCATGAAGATTTTTCTCAAATCATATTTTACATCAAAACAGAAATATATTTTTAAAAAAAACAAGAAAAACAATTTTGTTTCAGAAAATAGAAGAAAAAGTAAGATCAGCAAAATCCACTTTTTTGCATAACAGTAATGAGAACAGAGAGCAACAGTCTGTATAAAAGAAAAAACTACAATCTCATTAATCCCATTACTAATATATTAAGTGTTCAGATTACTCATTCAAAAGTTTAGGGTCATCCCTTTTTTTCTTTTGAAAAATGTATACTTCTTTCAGCAAACTTGTATTAAATTGACAGTAAAGACATTTAGAATGTAAAATAAATCAAACTACGGTAAAAACAGTACTATTGTGAAATATTACACATTATTAAAAGAATGTTTGTTATTTGAATATATTTTAAAATATCATTTATTTCTGTGATGAAAGCTGGAGCATCTGTGTCACACGATCCTTCAGAAATCATTCTAATACGCTGATTTGCTGCTCACTTATTATCAGTCATCAATTCAACTATGAAAGATGGTTCCTATTATTATCAATGTTGAAAAGTTTTTGCTGCGTATTTTTGCAGAAACTTTTTTTTTTCAAGAATTCTTTAATGAATACTGAATGAGTTCAAAAGAACAGCATTTAATCTGTTCTTTTGTAACACTATAAAAGTCTTGACTGTCAATTTGATCAATTTAATGCATCCTTTCTGCATAAAAGTAATCTTTTTAAAAAAAAAAAATAATTTTTAAACAGTTCAATAATACTTCACAATATTACTGTTTTTACTTTTTTTTTTACTGCATTTTTGCTCAAATTAATGCAGCATTGTTGAGCAGAAGAGACGTTCGAACATTTTCAAAAACCTTACCAACACTAAACTCCTGATCAGCAGTGCATGTCTCAACACGTCAGATTAATGTGAGCCACCACATAATAATCTCAGACTTGTTTCATGGATCAGAATTCCTTATTGAACAGATGTTTGAAATCTCAATGTAGAAAACGACTGAGAAAATGCAAATGAAAGCCACTGGAAAAGTGCAAGTTATTTCCGTGCCATAAAATAATAACAATGTCAAAAATCCTACAAACAGGCTCCTTTTCTTAATATAGAATACGCAGAGCTTCATCATCATGATCCTTCCACTAAGTTGTCAAACTGATTTGATACTCCCTGCTGATATTGCTACTGACTAGCATGCTCAGATCACTAAACAGCACAGATTCAGACACTCACTGTTCTGTGTGATCTTTTGGATGTTGGAGCTGCATGTCTGGATCAGGCTGCTGAAGTCCTTTGGCGGGGCGCGCTGCTCTGTCCTTCCGTACGACATGACTGCGGGATATTCAGCTGGCTCTGACAGATGTCTCGGGACAAAGGGTGGAGGAAACTAGATCGGGAAGCGTATCCGTGCCTGAAAATGCTGAGGACAGAGAAACATTTTGTCAGAACATCCACAGTAATATTACAATGAAGCAGTTACTATAGCATTACAGTTTACAACGCCTTTTTCATTCCAGCCGCCTGAGCCTTTGATTTCATGTATAAGGGACAGTGTGTAACATCACCTTACATGCCTGGCAATGACTAGATAAGCAGATAAACACATCTTGCCGGGAAACAGCCCGGATCACAGAACTGATCTAAGTATGAGTGTGCACTTAAAGGGGTCACATGATGCGATTTCAATTTTTCCTTTCTCT